AATAAAAAGAGAAAAAGCTTCATCCAGAACTTGTAAAACCTGTTCACCATTGCAGAAAAGAAAATAATTACTTGGAAATAAAGATCAAACATTATACCTGAATGATGTAACCTATGAGACTCGGATAAATTAGTCCTGTCCCTCCCCCTAGGCCTTTAATAAACACATTTAATTAACTTTTTCTTTCAGTCCCTTTGATGAACCACTGCAAAAACAAACTGATGCAGTGAGAATGAGTCAAACTAGTGTCATAATCTAGTGTCAATGGGTAGCAGATTCTAGTCTACCAGAGACATTTGAATTTTCAAACAGGATTGCAGAGCAACGCTGACAGCTAAGTTTCCTTATGGAATAAAACTAAAAATGCAATATGAATATTTAGAAGAAATCTCAATTTGAATGCCCTCTGCAAAATTTTTTAGCAATAGGTGATAACCACACAGGAATCCAAATATCTCCACACAGTCCAAAAATAGCCAAAAATCACAAGTACAGAATAAATCCACAAGCAAAAGGTATACTTAGAAAAACTTGAGCAAGAATCATAAAACAATAATATAGAAACCTTCCAAGATACCTGAATTCAAAACCAAGACTTGACCAGAGACTCAGGCCTTGCTTCTAACTCAAACACCAAAGTTGCCTGAACTGACTTTAAGGTAAACACTGGCTGATAATAAACAGTCATGAAGTCATGTTGTTTCTCGTGATTTTTGTCTATATCTTTCCCATGTAATCTCTCTGACCTATGGAGCAGATTCTCTGATCTTTAAATGAAGACTTTTGCTTATCTCCATAACTCCAGGTGCTTTCCCTTGAGAGTTTTCCATTTCACTTCATTCTTCTTCACTCGGCCCTTATCTAATGATGTTGTTTCTGGCTCCTGTGACTGACCTTGGAGCCCGGCACCCTCTGAGTCAGTTTCATATCCCTGGCCTGAATCTTCAACACTTTGAACCTGGCCTGAATCAGCATCACTGCGAACCTCAGGAAATCCCACAATCCCTTCTGAATCATCAGTGAACCCCTCAGCCCCTGGCTGCTGAGCGACAACACCGATCTTGTCTAGTTTCTTCGTTGCTGCCTTTCCAAATCCTAGTCATCTTCTGATTTGATCTGCTGGCATTCACAAAGGTTTCTGACTTAAGGGATTTCTGCGTGGACTAAAGCCCCTTCTATACAGCTGTATAAAATCCACATTATCTGGGTTGTTGTAGGTTTTTCGGGCTATATGGCCATGTTCTAGAGGCATTCTCTCCTGACATTTCGCCTGCATCTATGGCAAGCATCTTCAGAGGTAGTGAGGAAGTGACCTCACCACCTCTGGGGATGCTTGCTATAGATGCAGGTGAAACGTCAGGAGAGAATGCCTCTAGAACATGGCCATAAAGCCTGAAAAAACCTACAACAACCCAGTGATTCTGGCCATGAAAGCCTTCGACAATACATTCCACATTATCTGCTTTGAACTGGATTATATGGTAGTGTAGACTAAGATAACCCAATTCAAATCAGATAATGTGGATTTTTTGCTTTGATAACTTGGATTATCTGTCCTTTCAGACCTTGTTGTGGATTCATTCAAAAGTCCTTAGCCAACATTTTCCCTTTGTTTCTCCATTAGGAAAAGCGCTATTGTCATTCTCTCCTAAATATATTAAAAGGTCACAGGACACCGTTACTCCATTTCCTGGTTTTGCTGTGAAACAACTTCAAAACACCACTGCAGGGGGAAGGGATCCACCATTTAGACACTCTGACTCCTCTCCAGCTTTTGAATTTTCAACACAGATGACAGACCAAAGGGAACTGGCCTTGCCTTCACCCAGAAAGCTGCCACCTCCTTTTGATCCAAGGTGAGAACTAGTCCCCAGAGAACAGGGGCATTTGTATATCAGGGAGTATTTTGGAAAATCTGAGTAATTCCACTCTCAAACTTTAACAGTTGTTCATTACATTTTTATGTCACACTGAAAATCAAAGCAAACGTATCCAAATATAGCTTTTTGGCAAATCAGAAACAGAAAACAGGAAGAAGAACCAATCATTTGATAACAAGTACAAGATGAATATCCTTTACCCAAAATGTTTGGGATTGATCAGAAGTATTTGGGAACTCTGACTTTTTTAGATTTTGGAATATCTTTATTTATTTACATATATACACATAATGGAGCCCCCAGTAGTACACCAAGTTAAACCGCCAAGCTGCTGAACTTGCTAATCAAAACATTGGTGGTTTGAATCCGGGGAGCAAGGTAAGCTCCCGCTGTTAGCCCCAACTTCTGCCCATCTAGCAGTTTAAAAACATGCAAATGTGAGAAGGTCAATAGGTACCACTTCAGCGGAAAGGTAATGGTGCTCCATGCAGTCATGCCAGCCACATAACCATGGAGGCGTCTACATACAATGCCGGCTCTTTGGCCTAGAAATGGAGGTGAGCACCACCCCCCAAAGTTGGACACGACTAGCTTTAATGTCAGGGGAAACCCTTACTTATACACATAGCCTGAAAGTAATTAAAATAATATTTTAATAATTTTCTGCATGACACAAAATCTGTGTCTACAGAACCTCCAGAAAGCAAATTATTGCTATCTCAGCCAACCACGTGGACAATTTTCAAATTTTGGCATATTTTGGAATTCCGAATGAAGGATAGTCAGTTTGTAATGTCAGGGAAATCTTTGTGGACGGTTATAACTTTGTGTTGTCAAAGGCTTTCATGGCGGAATCACTGGGTTGATGTGAGTTTTCCGGGCTATATGGTCATGTTCCAGAAGTATTCTCTCCTGACGTTTCTGTGGCAGGCATCCTCAGAGGTTGTGAGGTCTGTTGGAAACTAGCAAAAGGGGGTTTATATATTTGTGGGTTGTCCAGGGTGGGAGAAAGAACTCTTGTCTTCTTGAGGCAAGTGTGTATGTTGCAATTGGCCAGCTTGATTAGCACTGAATGGCCTTGCAGCTTCAAAGCCTGGCTGCTTCCCAACAAAGGATTCCTCCAGGCAGGGGACCTCACAACCTCTGAGGGTGCCTGCCTTAGATGTGGGCAAAATGTCAGGAGAGAATGCTTCTGGAACATGGCCATGCAACCCAGAAAATTCACAGCAACCCAGTTATAACTTTGCAGTTCAGGGCTATTTATCGATAATATAACAACATTTATATTAAAACCCACCAAGGAGCAACCAATTTGAAAACAGTTATATCAAAACTATGCAAATGTAGTCAACCAAAAGGCATGCTAGTCTTCAAAGCTTCAATGGCCTGCTCATTAGATGAAAGAGAGGTGGTAACTAGCAGGCAGATAAAAGAATGGGATGTTGTATTCACAGCAGATGCGTTTGAGGTACTAAGGGTACAGAAAGTAGAGAAAATGGTTATCATTTTCATTGAACTTTCTCCCCAACTTTCTCTTTCACTGAGGTGCAAATGTGTATAGGATCCACATGCTCACCAGACAGATACACACGGGAGTATTCGGTTCAACAAATGGCATACAAACCACAAAACGTGCTTTGATTCTTAAGGGCAGCCAGGAGATGTCAACAAGAGCATCTCAACACCAGGTCTGGAGGTGTGAACTGGTCGTCTAGCCCCGAAAATCAGTTGCTAATACAGTTAAGAGCCATTGCAGGGCAGCTTGGAGGACTACTCAGGATCCGCATCCTGTTTCACAAAGTGATGTAGAAATTGGTATTTAGGACCAATGATGAACTTGGAGGCTGTGGATCAGGCATGGGAGAACTTAGGCCTTCCCTCCAGGTGTTTTGGACTCCAACTGGAGTCCAACTGGCTGAGGGGGAAAAGGAAGGGGCCTGAGGCTGTTAGGAATGGTGGGAGTTGGAGTCCAAAACACTTAGAGGGAATGCCCAAGTTTACCCATGCCTGGTCTACACTGTAGTTTGACATCACTTTATCTGCCAAGGCCCAATGCTATGGAATCCAGGGAGTTGTAGTCTTGAGACGTCGCAAGAAAGGCAATCTAGACATGCTCAGAGGCTACTGCAAAGTCAGAGCCCTTTCACAGCCAGGACTCCACGCAATAACATTTTGGGATTGGTAATCTGAGAGATATTTTGGCTTCTCTACAAACTACAAATCCTATAATTCCATAACATTGAGTCTTGGGAGTGCAAGTGATGTCAAACTGGGTATTTAGCCTTCTTTACAAACTACAAATCCCAGAATTCCATAGCACTGAGTCTTGAGAGTGCAAATGATGTCAAACTGGATTTTTAGCCTTCTCTACAAACTACAAATCCCAGAGTTCTATAGCACTGAGTCTTGGGAGTGCAAGTAGTGCCAAACCGGATATTTAGGCTTCTTTACAAACTAGAAATCCCAGGGTTCCATAGCACTGAGTCTTGGGAGTGCAAGTGGTGTCAAACTGGATATTTAGCCTTCTCTGCAAACTACAAATCCCAGAATTCCATAGCACTGAGACTTGGGAGTGCAAATGGTGTCAAACTGGATATTTAGCCTTCTCTACAAACTATAAATCCCAGGGTTCCATAGCACTGAGTCTTGGGAGTGCAAGTGGTGTCAAACTGGATATTTAGCTTTCTCTGCAAACTACAAATCCCAGAATTCCATAGCACTGAGTCTTGGGAGTGCAAATGGTGTCAAACTGGATATTTAGCCTTTTCTATAAACTACAAATCCCAGAATTCCATAGCACTGAGTCTTGGGACTCCAAGTGGTGTCAAACTGCTATAATTCTGTACTGTGGCTCCATCTACACTGCAGAATGGAAGTAGTTTGACACCACTTAGCTCTGCTGGGGTTTGAAAAGGCCTTCTTTGCCAAAAGGTGGAGAAACTCCCATGAGTCCAGAGCATGGCAGTGAAAAGTGGCACAGAACTGTATTCATTCTACAGTCGAGAGAGAGACCCCCTGGGACTCAACTCAAGGCTCCGTCGAAGAAGCCCAGCAATGCCTCCCCTGGAGTCTTTCTTCGCAAAAGCAGGCAAAATCCCCCCAAAGGGGAGTCCCACTCACCGGCTTCCATGGCTCCTTTGGGCTCCCTTCCCTTCCAGCCCGTTCCCCGCCTGCCTCCTCCTTCTTCTTCTGCCCAAACTTTGCAAAGTACGGACCAAACCCGCTCTCCCGAGTTGACACATGTGCGCAGCGCCCCCATTGGACGGAGCCCCCGCCGCTCCGGCCTCAAGCTCCGCCCCCTGCCGCCTTCAAAGGCCCGCCCACTCTTTCTCCTTCGTGGCAGCCCAAGAGGGGAGGGGAGGGGAGGGGGGAGGGGAGGGGAGGGGGCACTGGGTTCTCCCACCTATGTATTCATCGTATACAGAAGCAAACCGAGGGCACAGTGGAATTTAAAAAACTTTAAAGTTTTAAAAACTTATTATGTGCTATCTTAATAATAGAACATATTGTATATACATATAATATTTATATTTATATGTATATACTTTATATTTATATGTATATAATATTTATAATATTATAATGTAATACAATACTACTAATAAAACTATGATATTATAATATATTTTATATTACATGTAATATTGCTAATAATCTTGCAATATAATGGTATAGTACTATATAGTCATGTATGATACTGATATTGTACTATGCTAATAATATAATATATTGTATTATATTATTATATTATATTGTATTGTATTATGAGTCCCCTTTGGGGTGAGAAGGGCGGCATATAGATGTCATAAATAAATAAATTTTACTAGATGTCCTTTGACCAGTAGCTGGCTACTTGGAGTGCCTCTGGTGTTGCTATTATTAATTATTATTATTATTATTATTATTAAACTTTATTTGTACCCCGCTAGCATCTCCCAAAGGATTTGATGCGGCTTACACAGGCCGAGGCCTCAACAACACAACATAACAATACAATCAAGCAATAAGAAGGTCCTCCATTTTGCATGGGAGTTGGAGTCCAAAACACCTGGAGGGCCCAAGTTGGCCCATGCCTTTGCTAGACAGTCCCAACCCCAAATGGAGAAGCCTCTGACAGGCACAGTCTCTTTTCAGGGCCCTTCCACACAGCCATATAACCCAGAATATCAAGGCAGATAATCCACAGTATCTGCTTTGAACTGGATTATCTGAGTCCACAATGCCATATAATCCAATTCAATTTGGATTTTATACAGCTGTGTGGAAGGGGCCTCAGATATGCTT